TAAATAAAATTATCGAAATAAGCAAATTACAAAATTTATATTAGTCAATTCAAGGGAAATTATCAAATTAATCAAAAATAAAAATAATCAAATTTATAGAAATAAATAAAATAAATAATTAAATTAATAAAAATAATTAAATTATCTATCATAGTCAATCTTGCCAAATATCCGAATTAGTAAATAAAGATAAACTAAGTAGACTAGCAAAATAGATAATTTTCAAATAGCCAAATTAAGGCAGATAACTATAGTCGCTCAATATAATTTATTTAATCCAATTAGCTAAAATAGAATAAGCAACTAGTATTTTATTTCATGAAAATTATCAAATTTATCGAAATAAAGATATTTCCCTCATCAATAAGCCATTCAAATTTTCTAAAGTAGGGCAAGCAGTCAATATAATCAATTTAATTAAGTTATTTTGATTTTTTGAATTGCTACGGGCGCGGATTGTGCGATATCCCTCCCGATGGCGGCAAGTTTATCAAATTTGACTATATCATTTAATTTTTTAAATTGACCTATTTTGATAGATTTCTTAATTTAGCTGATTTCATTATTCTGATTTTGATTATTTTTATCAGATTCAGTCTTTCGATTATATTGATTATTTTATTAGACTTAGATGATTTGATTAGCTGCCTTATTTAAATAAATTTTGAATATTAGATAAATTTCTTTATTATGGCAATATTTTCTAATTTGACTAATTTGCCTATTTTGGGCAGATGAATAGATTTAGATATTTAGGCTAATTTATCTATTTTTCTATTGGCTTGACTGATTATGCTATTTCTTGAGCTAATCTGGCGAATTTACTTGATTTATTTAATTGAGATCTTTTCATTATTTTCGCTATATCATATATCTTGATTTTATAATATATATTTTTATTTTTCGCAATTTAATTATTCATTTAAATTGGAGATTTTGATTAAAAAAATATATATATTAACGAATAGCCTTATTTTCCTTATCTTATTTTATTATTTAGAGATATCAAAGATTTTGCCTGATTTATCTGCTTCAATTATTTTCGATATTGAATATATTTTGATATATTTATCTTTTTGAAAAGATTATCATATCTTAATTTGAATTTTTCCGATTAGCTTGATTAATATATATCTTTGATTATATTAGATATTTAGATTATTCTGGCGAATTCAGATATTTTATCTATATTTATTAATTTGATTTGCAAATCTAATTTGACTAATCTATTAATATTCAATATGATTTAATTAAATCATCAATTTTTATTTATTTAAGCTATTCTGGCTCATTTCCCTGATTTGATTACTTTGGCGAAAATTGATTATTTTTTTAACTAATTTAGATATTTTGATCGATTTATAATTTTATTTGAATTGACCAATTTCATTCTTTTAAATATTCAGGTGAATATTGATATTATAATTATCTCAGCTATTTTGATAATTTTATATATTTCTATTCCTTTGATAGATTTGATTATTTAGACTACTTTTTGATTTCAGATATTCAGATTCTTTCAAAAGATTTCCAAAATTTAATTATTTGATTTTTTTAAATATTTTTATTATTTTTATTTCTTGCAATAAATTTATTTTTTTTTCAAAATATATTTATTTCGATTAATTCGATTATTTTTGCTATCTATATTATTATTGGATTTATGATATAGAGCTTTATTCGATTTCGATTATTTCATCTAATTTCTTTTAATGATCGAAATAATAATTTCGGAATTTCAAATATTCTATTAATATGAATTATTTCGATTATGATAATTATTTGAATTAATATGATGAATTTAGATATATGTATTTCTAAATTTATATCTTAAATTGATATAAATCTTCTATATTTTTAAAGAAACTGATTAAGAAAATTAAAATAGATTTTCTCCGCTATCTTCTTTGGAACTTATATTCTAAATCATATGAGAATTATTGGGGCAAAGACGATATTTTAAAAAATCCAAATCTTAATTCTTAAATCCTAATCCAGATATCTAGAAAAGAAATATCAAAAAATATTTTCGATTATATATTATATATAATCTTCATAAGATATAAGAAGATTTCAAAATCTATTTCGATTTCTATATTTATATCTTATATTCTCTTATTTCATTTCTTTATTTATCTTTATATTGATTTTATTTATCTCTCTAAATTTTTATATTCTATTCAAGACTATATGAATAATAAAATAGAAAAAGAATCTCCTATATAATCTCTTCTATTTATCCATAATAATATCTAGAATTTGCTATCATCAGATCAGAATTATCTTTCTCATAAATATTTCTCTTATCTTTTAGATATAAGATTCTTCTTCTTTGAAAGAAATAAATTTATAAGATAATAGATAATTATCTATGAGTTTTTTGATATTTTCATGCTATTTTATCCTCATAATTAATTAATCTTCATCTCTCTCTCTCTCTTCTATTTCTAATCTATTAATAGAATAGATGAAAAAATCTGATATTTCTATATATATCATATTATTCTTTTTTTTATAGAGATTAGAAGAAATAGATCGATAATAATGATTAATTAAGAAGAGATATATTAAATAGAATGATCATAATCTCAAATTCTTTTTCCGATCTTCGACCATTTTTTATCTTTTCTTCATATCGGCTTAAAAAGCTATCAGAAAATCAAATTTGATTTCTGCTTTCTCTTAAATTTAATTTATATAGAAAATATCAGATCTCATTTATGAATAGAAATTTAAATAATCTAATCAATAAAAGATTCCTCTTTTCTTATATATTTAAGTCTTTTCTTGCTTATTTTCTTCATTCCTTATTTGAAGAAGAGAGCAGATTGCTGGGAAATCATCCTTTTATATTCATTTATTTTCAAATAATTCAAAGATTTCTAGATCATTATATCATAATTTTTTTTTCTTTTCTATTCTTGAATAATATATTCTAGATCAGATTTAATCTGTGCATATTCAGATATCCATAGATATGATCTCGAGATATGAATTGATTATTTATTCAATATTCTTTTTCTCATAATTATTATAAATAAGAATCATCATAAATATAAATATTCTTTTTTATCAAAACAAATCTTGAGGTGCTACATTTAATCGATATGCCTCATATGGAGCCATAGAATCGATATATCCTATCTGGAATCATAGATCTTATCTCTTCAAGATTTTTCATCTTATCAGATCAATCCATCCAAGACAAGAATTCAAGCTATCATCCATTTTGACCTTCAATATCTCAAAAAAGCTGATTCCCATATATTTTATAAAATATATAAGATTCTAAATGAATAAATAGAATAATGCTTTCATTACTATATACCAGCAAATATAAATAAAATTCAAGATATGAATTCATATATATGACTATCAAAGGAGTCAAGAATTAAAATTGACCATAAGTAAGAAATTTATTTTAGCTGATTCAGTTCCTATTTCTACGCATATTCATATTCTGTTAGCGATAGGACCTATTATGTGACAACTATGATTGAAATCAAAATCTCGCTAAGAGAATGATAGAATTCTACAAATTCTTATGATCTCCCCTGATAAGATATTATATAATTTCTATATCTAATTTTTTATTAGAATCTATTTTGATTTGATATATAATCTCTTCATATCCCTCTATTATGATTATAATCGTAGGGAAGACCTCTATCTCTCAATATCCAAAATAAAGATTAGATTCCTGAGCTATATAGAATTATTTTATATTTAAATAGAAAAAGAGATATATAAAAGATTATATTATTCTTTATATGAGCAATCGATATCTTCATAATTATTATATCGATTTATAAAAAGAATCAAATTTACAAATAATATTATTTATAGATGTCATCAAATTATCTAGCCTTCTTAATTAATTAAAAGCTAAGTCCAAACCCCAGAAGTCGATATATAGAGAAAATCTTATATATCAATATATCCATATATAATATTAGTAATAAAATGAGATTTCATAAAATGAGATTTATGAATATATTGCTTCGAATTAATAGAATAATACGTGCTAATACTAGCTGAAAGAAACAAAATCTTCTCTTCCCCCCCTCTTCTCCCTCCGACATAGTTCAAAGAATTTCTCATTATCGATTACGTATCAGACGAGAATTAATTATTCAGCTTAATGAAAAAAAATCATCCATTAATTTCAAAATATTAAAAATATAATATATCGAAATCTAAATTGAGATTTTAAATTAAAATAAAAAATTTATCAACAGAATGAGCCAATGATATAGAAAGATATAATCAAAAATTCAATCATTCGAAAGAAATTCCGAATATTCGATTTTTTAAAAATAAAAAATAAAATAATATCGAACCTAATTAAAATCAAGAAAGATTCTTTTTATAAAAAATATATGAAATAATATCTTTAATTCATAATATCTATTATTATTCATTATATTCAAGAAAATTAAGAAAATTTTTTCTAATCAATTAATTTTCTTTAATTTATTAGAGAAAATTTTTTTCCACAAATTATTATTTTTTATTTCAAATTTTATAGAATTCTATTTTTCGAGCATCAGACTAATATGTCAATAATTTTCAGTTATTCTAAATCATATATAATATATTTTCTTATATAATCGATTCTAATTTATAAATTATCTTTATCTCTCCATCTAATTTCGTTCTATCTTCTTCTTTGATAAAATAAAAAGTTCATATATTTATTCTAAAAATTCGATATAACCTATAAATCTTTTTTTTGCATTAATTTCTATTGAAATAATAATCTAAATCATATCTCCAATTCTCAACTATCAGAAATGGGTTCGTATCCCTGGAATGGCTTGGAATGGAAGAAGAGTTACATAACTAATCAACATAAAATATCAAAGGCTAACCAATCATCTTCTGAAAGAGTGGATTGAATTTTGAGCAAGTGGTCTCGAAGAGATTTATTGATACGAATTAAGTAATATAAATACGTAATCAAGGAATGTTACATTCGGGCTGGGGTTGGGGGCTTTTTCTCATCTGAAATAGAACTCCCAGGTACAATCTCGAGGAATGCCGCCCAATGCCTCGCAATTGTGGTCCCAATGCGCATCCCCTTCTGTACTTTGTTCGAGGCCGACACTCGAGATTCCACGACAACTTGGGGTCATCAGGAACAAGTGGCATCCAACTCTGGCGGTGCCTCTTCTGCGGCCGCAGTATGTGGATCGGCTTGGCGGAAACCTGTAGGACAGAGGTTTTAGGTCGCATAGGTTCTGCAGAATGCTGCCTAAAGCCATGTTGGCGTAGTAGAGGCCCAACAGGCTTAGTTGGAAGTCCTTGAATCCATCGAAATCTTATGAATCGTGGGTGCTTCCAGAAGCGTTGGCTGTCCGCAGCAGAAACCAGGTCCACGTAGGGTCTGCTTCTTCTTAAGCTTTCACAGATCTAGATGCAACTTGGCAACAGCACAATTTAGGCGTCTGAATAGTTAGAATAGGGAAGTGGGTTTATAGTATGACTCGAACAGGGTTTACAAGGGAATCATGTTGCGAGACTTTGTAATCATAGTGGAAGAACATAAGGTAACATTAACAGGAATGGAAAAGGTAATAATGACGGGAAACCTCGGGAAATATCAACAAAAATCCTGGTACACTGGAGTGGCACAAAAGTAGAGCCGCGGCATCTTTTGAAACCCGCAGAGTGTGCGCGCAACGATTCCCTCGCACGTTTTCGGAAAACGCGGAGGGAATCCGCTTTTTCAAGCCTTAGGGGACCGAAGATGGTTCCCTCGCCTGTTTCTGGAAAACACCCTTATTCGTACACGTGGATCTGTCAGTTGCCGAGCTTCCGCTATTGTACATAGTCTTATAATATTTGTGATTATTCAAGCTTCTATACTCTGGAGACAAGGGCTTGTGGCCGATTGGAGCAATTATGAGTATCTTCAAACTGAACAAACCACGGAGCATTTGTCAACTCAACCAACTGGTAGGTAGGCTGTCGCCAATGCTGGATTGCATTCTGGGCCGCCAGGATGTGACCCGGAATTCAAAGGCCTGAACTTGAATGTAAGAGGCCGGCAGGCCCCACCTACCAACGATAGATTCACCAATGAAGGATATGCGGTCCCTCTACACATTCAACGGCTACTCTATACGTTGACACCGATTCAGCGTTAGATATCTGAATTAGGAACCGGCTGCGTCATGCCACATACTGCCGAGGTCAGCACGCTCCCATGCGGCGATCGCGGACTGCTGATCTCCAGTCATGCTCAGCAGGACCTGAGACGCCCAACTTCCGAAGCTCTACTAGGTGTGCTGTAACACTCGACAGGCATGATGCAAATTCATGCGCGTGCAGATTCCAGAGAGTTCATAGGGTCAGAGAAGGCCAGGGCTCCAATGCATCAGGGCAGTGGCACATGTGAAGCATTGCAAGTTGCGTTGAACTCAGCCTCGTCCGCCTCTTGTTACTATCGCTGCAAGGAGCGAAAACATGTAGCGATTACCAACGAGTTTCCTCGAATCGGTCCTGGTGCGGATCCGTTCCAATCTCGCGGGTAACAACTTCAACGGTTTGCCGCCCCAACATCATCAGGGATTATCAGGATCTTTGCAGCCAAGTGTAGAGTTTTCAGGCAATCCCCACTCATCGGCTCTCACCGTAACCCGAGATGGCACTGGGGTCCTCACTGCAGCGTTGCGCCAATACCTGGTTGTGATGTGCAAAGGCTTCGGCACATGTCTATCTTGATCTAACTACCCGTATCCTCGAGCTCGACATACTTAAGTTCAATGCCGAAGAACACACTCTGAACCGTGTCTCCAAGGCACAGTGGCGTGTGAGGTGCCAACGAGATTGCTTGCTCTGCAGCCTGGCCATGTGGATCTGCACGGATTAAACAACTCAAGCACGACGCCAAACCAGGGTTTGCAGTGCCACCAGTAGAGCTATATGGCAAGTGGCTTTTCGTGGGTTGAGGCATGCCTTGTCTGAACATCCTTAGGCCGTCAGCATGCACTTTGGAGTTTCGGAGGTTCTTTCTGTCTGTGCATGCTTTGACATTTTCTTTGTCCTGTGGTGGGTGATAGCAGCGGTGTTAGTACGCGCATTAGAAATAGTATTAATACTGGTAGTAGTGGTAGTGGTGGACAGTATTGACAACATACTGTGGTTCGCGGGCTAAAGCACCCACATGCACCCACGAGATCGGCGCACGAATCTGTCCTTCCCGAATCGGCCCGAACCTCTCGCCTGTCACTGGACCCTGAATCCTTCACCACTGGCCTGGAGACCCTGCTGCACCAACTGGACGTTCATCGGCTGGTTGGAAAGACCGAGGAGGACTAAGGCACAAGCCAAATTGTTGTACCTGGGACTTCTGCATCCACTGTGCGGTGCTTAGTTTTTTGCTCTTCCTTTATTCAGTATAGCCGCTCCAACACCTTCATATCTCCAGCTTTCAGCTATCCAGAGGTCTGGTGAGGTGCGACAAGGTTTGGAAGATGGGAGCTGGGTGTGAAGCTCCGATCGTGTCGGGGAGCTGGGTGTGAAGCTCCGATCGTGTCGGAGTACTGGCATGTTGAATGACAAGGTTGAAGTTGTCGCCTGAAAATCTCGTTCGAACCGACCACCATCTCGCCTTCCTCATGGCATGCTCAGGTCATGACCCCTTGGGAAAGCTCGGATTTGTGATGACGGCCTCGGCAATTCGGAAGGTAGCAAACTGTTCACGCCCCAGCTTGCGATCAGATGATTTTGAGCTTGGATTGCACAACCGCAAAGCTTCAAGGCGTTGATCCCCAGACCCTAATCCTGTAAGCTCAGAGCCCTCTCGCTCTGGGCATGCCGCTTGGAGCTTAAACCACAGGCCGTGTATCTGTGTTACCAAAGCCCACTGCTGATCACACCGCATTTGTGAGTCCGAGGAGGCTGCAAAATGCTATGGGCCTGAGAGCTTGCAAGCCCTCGTCAGAAAGCCTTCGGTCACAGTGGGGGCCGGGAGACTCTAGGCCACAGGCATTCTGGAAGTTGTGCGCAGCCTGCTCCAAGGCTTTGGAGCTTTCGGGCCGGGTCGGCTTGCAATCTGCAGGTCTCAGAGTCTGCATCGCTCTTCCTTGTGTTCATTAGGAGCGAGCATGGCGAGGTCTGGCGGAGCTCCCAGATGCGTCGCGTCTTTTTCTCTCTGCCTCTGTCTGTCTGTCTGTCTCTCTGTCTCTCCGTCTCTCCTTCTGTCCGTCTGTCCGTCTGTCTGTCTGTCTGTCTGTCCATCTCTGTCTCTGTCTGTCTATCTCTGTCTCTGTCTGTCCTGTGTCTATGCACCAGGGAGCCCAAACTACTGGGCGTTCAGTGTTATTTGGATCCTGCCGACAGTGACAATCCCTGCCGCGTGCTATGGACGTCGGGTAACTAGACTCTGTGGTGCATGGTGCCCTGTTTGTGAAAGTATACCGAGCAGCAAGGTGGCATGTCCGCTGCAATGTCGCCCTTAAAGTCATTGACCGAGTTCTCGGCCCAGCATTTACTCTTGCTGTTTCCAGTTGCTGAAGAGTTGTGTCCGTTCTGGTCGGGCCCAAAGCACCTTGCCTTTCGAGTTTGCTATCCTCCACAGGAAGCCACTCACCCGCGTTGTCTGGGGCTCTGTGGCAAGCATGAGGAAGCACAGGTCACAGGGGACCCAATGTTCTCTCCCTAACTCAGTCGCATCTCGCAGCCACTTACACCTTTGCGTTGGCCATCTCCAGCCCATGTGCGGCTTCATGCTGCGAGCTTGCCAAAGACGCACGTCCCATGCTCCCAGACGAAAAACGAAGGAGTCATGGCACAGAGTTGCTCCGTCACTAGCTAATCAGACTTGAACGCTGGGGGCCCTCACCTCCATGTGCCTGCCCACGTGCCACAGAACGAGGCCGTAGTCGTGCCAAACTTCTTCCTGCATCTCAAGCGCGGCTGCCAAAGCCCGGATCCTGAAGCCCAACTACAGTACGAGATTAGTTTTGGCCTTAACAAGCAGGCTGGGTGCAGCATCAGAGCAAAGTGTACACTGTCAAGAATGGCTATGGCGGCTATGGGCTGACCAAGGCAGGTTTTCCAAACCCAAATCCGGAACCATCCCAGCAGCCCGCCAAAACCTTCCTGAACGGGCAGGGAAAGCGACTGTGAGCGTGGGTTCTCCTTCAGAAGCCTCTATAACAGTTTCCGGGCAGTTGGGTCGACTCAAACTCCCTTTCAAGATACTCCTTGCAGGTTTCTTCGAACTGGAACTTGACTTGGGGACGTAGGGCGAAACGAGGATCACACCTAGCACGGTCCACGCTTTAACTTCCAGCCTACAGCCTCAATCAGAGCTGGAAGAATCCCGTCCTCATGCAGCGTCAGAGGGCTGAAGTAGCCAGTAACGGCCTGCGAAGCGGAGAAGCAGCACGTGGGATGGGGCATGTGCTTGCGGGGGTTGGTAGAGTTTTTGGAGAAACATGGTGTCGGGGCAGTCGGTGCTCCTTTGGGGAAGCTCCAAGCTGTGGGGAAAGCGCATTCCCTGAATCCCCAGGCCTAGGCCCTAATTAGGCGGCCTAGCATCACCCGGAACGCTACATCGGAAGCTGCCTTGTGAAGGTAGACTTGCGCTTCTTCGTACCTTAAAGAGGCTGGTTGGGTTGACACCACGCCACCAGGTCAGCTTCAAGTAAGACATGGAGATGTTGAGGTCGTTTCCGTCGGGTCGTGGGACCTTCAAATTCAAGAATCTGACGTCACTCCTGGGAATCCCGGTGGATCTGCACACAGTCCGAGAACACAGGTATATTCGTGCTCTTGCTTCGGGTTTTTTCGGGGCCGTCACGTCGCGACGGCAAGCTGTTCTTTGCCGACAATCTGTGAGCTGAAAGTTAGTCGAGAAGCGTTCAAGGCCTCTGTGATTTTTCAACCCACGAAACCCGTCGAAGGGACTTAGCAGGACGATCCTCCTGATCCAACTTGGATAAGAATCGTTGATGAGTCTGAAGGCTTTTTGACTTGGGCCTTGCGGTTGCCGACGAGCAATGTGCAGCACCAGGGCTAATACATGTACCACTGAAATCACAGCAGTGGGCCCAGCAGGGAGTGTCTGTGCAAGGCGTATGGTGATGTATGTTGTCTACAAGAGCGGGCGCTTTTACCCATCGATGCTCAGAGGGAGCCTGGCATCACGTCGGTTAATTGAGCCTCATGGCTTGGCCTAGGAGATGACATGTCTAACCTCCAACCGATTGCAGTCAGGCTGCTGCCCTCTGTACCTGAACAGGGTGTTGGGTGCGAGAAGGCCATGAACTCGACTTGCACATGACACCACTGCCCAGGTGTCTGCCTGCATGCGCCTCTAAACAAAATCTGTCAGAGCCACAAGCGAGACTTCGACCAAGCACTCAAAAATGAACTTCCACTTGTTTACTGGCCGTGGTCAGCCAAAACGGCAGAGCTTTTGGAACCTCTTCCCGTTGCCAAAGTCTGAAGTGCTGACGAGTCTCATGAGTATCTGCCCAGCATGGTAGAGTGGTTGGGAGTCGCGCTCCTTTGGGCTCCAGCTCGGGGCTAAAGGCTTGATGGCTGACTGTGGGTCTTTCTGGGTCGCGGGCTGTGAATCTTTAGAGCGACAAAATCTGTGTTCGACCCGGACGGCCGAGAAATTGACCCTTTCAGCACTCTCAACCCGGCACCCGAGGCTAGAAAAGGCTCGGGAGCATGCCGGGGAAGTAGGAGGTTTGGGCTGTGACTAGTCCTGCTGCCAAATCAGAATTGACTGTGCTGAAGTGGAGAAGTTCCGTGTGGCTTCGTCATCGCAGCTTCTGGCAACCCGCACAACAATTTCTCTTTGTGAGCGTAGGGCAGCTTTGCCCTTTCGGTACCCTGCGACATACCCAGCAGAGTAACTTGCAGATGACAGGATCCAGGATTGATCGCAAAGGCTTGCAAATGAGCCTCGCGTCTCTTGCTGTACATGGCAGGTCGTGTGCAAGAGCTTCTCGGCCTTCTACAATCGGGGCTAACAGCTCAACGGCTTATAGCAAAAAGGCTTTGGCAGGGGACCGCAAACCGAGAAGCCCCAGGGCCTGTACAGGCTTGCCAAAGGTGCCTGGGTCAGGTCAAGTCTCAAAACCAACATTTCAGGAATTGACTTTTCTCCTGCACCCACGTCAAAAACATGAAATCGAACGCAGCCGCCGGAGGAAACTCTGACTGGAGAGAGAGATTGGACAGCTATTCATTCTGTGGCGGTCGAGTGGGAGAGCTTCCGAAGGAGTCCCCGTTGGCCACCAAGGCGTTGGCCACCAGCGCGCGCAGGGGCGCGAACTGGGAGTTAAACGATTAGACATGGCTTGGTCGTCGTCAAGCCATGTCAAGCCTGTCAGCTTACCAAGCCGCTGAATTATGAATGCACTGCAGCACGGCAATGGCATTCCCAGCTGGCAGCCCGAAAGGACATTTACAAGCTTTGTCCCTACTGGTATTTGAGCAACCGGTTGAAGAATCGAACGACCCTACAAGTTTCGGTGCTGCACTTGCACTTGCACATCTTGTTTCTCTGCTGGGCAGAAGATCCACGAGGAACGCTCGACATCAGTCGACTGCCACCTTAGCTGTTCAATCCGTTGAAAGAAGCAACACGATGCATCTACAAAGATCTGCGGTCCCAGACAACATGTTCTTTCTTCAATGTTTGCACGGGTCGAATTTGTCCCGCATATGAAGATAATTGTCACACTGGCGAAACGTACCAACGGCTTCAGTACTGACAAAACTCAATGTCTTACAGTTCTGAAGAAACCTGTGCCTGTGGCAGTCTTCCTGCTTCTTATGCTACTTGCAAACGACAACACAGCAAGAATAACACTGAGCACTTTGAAACGGCTTTCGTGCTGAAACGTATTTTTATGTTGATCAGACCGGGTTTACCCCTAAACCCTCGAAATAAAGCCGCACACTCGGAACTAACCCTCACCCAGCCAAGGAAACCAAGGACACGCCAGGAGTGGCCCGAGCCCGTCCCGTGATACATGGTACTTGCGGATCCGTCCGAACCCGAAAGCCGTCTCATTTGCCTCCCCCTGTCGAAGCCCGTCCAGTACCTTGACGGCCCCCCAAGCAGTGCTAGTTTAAGAGATTTAGTCGGGCCACAGAGCAGCAACAGCAACAACGACAACAACAACGACAACGAAAACCACCACCACCCCCGCCGCCGCCACCAGCACCAGCAGCACCAGCACCAGCACCCGCACCCACACCAGCACCAGCACCAGCACCAGCTCCAGCACCACCAGCAGCAGCACCAGCAGCAGCAGCACCAGCAGCACCAGCACCAGCAAGAGCAGCAGCAGCAGCAGGAGGAGGAGGAGCAGCAGTTGCAGCAGCAACAGCAACCACAACCACGGGAATAAGAATAACCATGGACCATGGCCATAACTCCAACTCGAACTTAAAAACACAACGACCAAAGGCAATAACAACACAGTAATAGCACTAGCAGGAATAGCAGTAACAGCACCACCAAGAGCAACTATGACAATAACAATCAATATCAATGACACTACGTAGCAGGAACTGTCATCGTCATAGTCATGCCAACCACCAACACAGCAGTAGCAATCTGTTCGTATCAGAGGTCTCATGATATCATAGCCACTAACTCTAAGTTGTCAATACCCACGCGGATACTGTTGCTGTACTTCCTTCTGTTGCTACAAGTAAGTGCTGCTTTTGCTTCTTGCCCCGGGATTGCTGCATGCATGATGATGCTTCCAGGTTTGTGCTTGCATCTTGCAGTACGAGGCTTGCGACGTATGGCCGACTGGGGGATGCGAGTACATCCCCCTTGACGCTCCGACCCTGAATCCCAAGACCGCGCTCATGCCATCCTACCCAAGCTTCCCATCCCCAACTCCGGGTTCAACGCCAGCCCCCCTTGCTGAGGCAGCAGGCGCCTTCCATGCGGGCGCCCGCAGGCATCGTGGACCACTGGATCTGCCGTGCCTTCGGCGGCTCCAGGCATTGGTTGCGAATTCTGATGACAACACAGCCTCCCAAGCAGCAGTTGCCGGTGCTAGAAATCCGGCGACTAAAGCTTGTGGCTTACGGCTTCGCAGAGTTCCCACAACATGAACCATCAGCCCATTATCACATCTACTGTAACCGACAGTCTCTGGGGCTGAAGGTGTGAGGCTCTCCAACGATCCCTCCTCGCGCCGAACTATGACAGGCAATGGCTGTGTTGGCAGCCTGCCACGGATTAGGGCCCCTTGACAGGGCATACTTTTCGAAACCTGCAGCCCAGCCTGGACCTCCGCCATGTCTGGCAATTCGGGCCTCAGATCACCAACGCCCTGCACTTGACCACTTAGCTTCTGTGCAACATTTCCACAAGGTGGTGACAAACCTTTGGAACTTCTGCGGATGCCCTGGTTCTGACTTGGAAAAAGATGCGAACGATATTGTCAGAACACAACACTTCCTGGCAGCTCTCCTTTTTAGGTCAGAATTTTCTCATCTTCCACAGCCGAGGCCGTTGCCACTGGAGCCAAGCTGGCAATTTGATGGAACCTCCAAACCTCTGGCGACTGCTGAGCTCTGAGAACCCGGATTACAGCTAGGCCTGGCTATGCAAAGGATCAGGAGATCAACGGTGTGCAAAATAGACCGTGGAGAGAGGCCGTCCAGCCTGCGCACTAATTAACACTGCTGCCTCGGGTTTGCAGGCTTGGGGTCTCAGAATGTCTCAGATATATGTGTTATGTATCGGTATAGTTATAAGTATGTATTCAACAGCGCATGCGCCCTCGTTTTTTTGCACATGCTACTGTAGACACTGCTGTATACGGATATTGTACGGAAGCGCCATCCGTCCACACCCGCAGTCACATGGTCAGCATACAATTTCAGGAACAGTGTTCATATGTCATGGCAGACTGCGGTCTGTTGCCACGGCTGATACCGTTTTTTGAGTACACCTTCCACTGCACTGGAAACTTTCAGGTTGACACAGAACCTTTCGGAGGCTGACTACAGAATTGATACGGCCTCAGCTTCTTGGAGCGGGACTCTGGCTCCAAGATGTCAGCAGGATCTGTGAACACCTTGGGGGTCCGAGATTCGGAGGTGCAAACCAGGCCTGGTTCAACTTCAGCGTGCAACACGAATCACAAGATTACACGGGCTTGTAGGATCGCAACCTTGCGTGTGGCTTCGGATTGAGATGTTCCAGAAACCATTGAAACCTGAAGCTGAACACCCGACGTTTCTAAACGCCTTGCCGCTCAATCCAGAGTAATTCTCGTTGTGGCTGCCGAGCAGGCGACAGCATAGCAGCCGAACCCTACTCGAACATAAAAGCCCAAGGGTATGATGACAGCTTTAATTTCACTCCGGCTTTCCCTCCTATGCTAGTCGGAGCTCGCAACTTCGCCCAGGCCTGCCACTTGGCCTCGTCAATGCCTTTAAATGCGGCCCGGGCCTGCAGATCAGGAGCGTCTCAAAAAGGCTGTGACGCCAAGGCCCAGTTGAAGGTTCGGGCCCTGGGTATCTTGAGCCTTTTGTGGGTGCCGAGTCTGGGAAGTCCAGGAAGCATGGGTCTGCCGATGGAAAATCCAGGTATCCAGGACCCGAAACCCATGTTTACAAACACTCTGACAAAGCGAAAAAAACCAAAATATCTCGCCCTGGAATCGCCAGAACATCGCGAAGGCGCAGGCCGCAGGCCTTTTCAATGTTTTCCACATCCTCTGCCATGACGGCCCGGATCAGGACCTTCGACGGATGCTCGATCTAGTCTATTATGTGGGATCGGGGGGTGTAGGTCGGAAGCATCAGCCAAGCGGCGTCGAAACTGCGACAACGCTGCACGGCATGTTGCACGCGTGATGAAACTCGATCATCATGTGCTCCCTGTGGAAACGAGTTCTCAATCACTACCACTCAACCCTAACCCAAGCGGAAAGTTGACAATCCCTCTTGCACATCGCACGTCCCCGCCCCTAGTTGCTGGGTTCGGGATTGCGGTGAGCATCAATCAGGCTCAGGCAGAGCATTACGAGCACATTGCTGCATTACGAATCAGCACCACCCGGCCGCCTTGAGAACTTGCGCGGGATGCTTTCGCATAATCTCGGCGTAGACCTTGCAACCGTGGCCCGAAACTCTCGAAATGGCCAGGGCAAAAGAGTTCCAGGGCGTCCGGTCTAGGTCTCTAGAGTTCTTCATTCTTGGGTAGGTTCGGCCAATCTGCTAGGTCGTTGTAAAGTCTACAGAAAAGATAGAGACGTCGGAGGCTGCAAGGCGTCGGCCTCGGCATCTAACCATCCGGCACCACTCTCGCAACCTCAAAGCCTTACGTTCCTGTTCTAATGTATGGAAGAGAAACCGGCGGGTCTGTCAGATCCACTCTGCTCTACCAAGAGATCGAAACTTGAGCCTTGGAGCTGTCAAATCCCCGGCCCGGACCTTGCGCCCTTGAGGCTCACTGATGCCTCGAAAATCGTCCTGATCTAGCACTTTCCTACAGCCCCTGCCTCAGCATCCCGT